TCTTGAAAAGTGTTATATTTGAGTTGGCAAATAATACAGTGGCACCTCTGAGCAATATTCTTAAAGTGACAATGCGTCTAATTTACCCTCTCAATAGCTTCTTTCTCCTGGGGTGTGACCTGGATGTAGTTCATGTGCCCGCCTCCGGCCTCGGCCACAACCCCACTGCCTCCTTGCCCTGCCTCCTGCCCCGGCTCATTAAGCATCTGGATGAACTGCTCCTGATGGCTGCTGATTTGCTGTGAAACAGAAAATCAAGAATAAGCTCTAAATGGCTGAGAGACAGGAAGGATGTTAACAGAATTCACTGGAATCACACTGGAAAGGGGAGTTCAAGTCAACATCAGCATCTATAGTAGAGTAGTACAGTAGTACACTATTGCAAACATACTCCACATCAGCAGTTCTCTCGCAGGTCTGTTCTGGTACTAAATGCATAAAATAAAAGCAGCAAACCATATAATCATGCATACATAGAACAGGAACATATATGTGTCCCTGCAGCACAAAAGCAGTGTTGAGTCGCTGGGGGATATTTGTAGCAATAGCCAACAATACATTGTATGGGTCACAATTATACATTTCTCTTTTATGCCAAAAATCATTAGGATATTAAGTAAAGATCATGTTCCATGAAGATATTTTGTAAATGTCCTACCGTAAATATATCAAAACTTAATGTTTGATTAGTAATATGCATTGCTAAGAACTTCATTTGAACAACTTTAAAGATGATTTTCTCAATATTTTGAGATTCCAGATTTTCTAATAGTTGTGTCTCGGCAAAATATTGTCCTATCCTAACAAACCATACATCAACGGAAAGCTTATTTTAGTGCTGGGTGGTATACCGGTTCATACCGAATACCAGTGTTTATTTTTGTTATGATATGAATTTTTAAAATACTGCAATACCGGTGTATGTCGCTTAAACAAGGTTCGGAACGCGACACTGTTTGGAAGGGGTTCGTATGTGTTACTAAGCGTGAAAGCTCCGAAATTGAAGCTGTAGAACTAACAGAACGTGATGACACAGAAGAACTCATCCACAATATCCACACTGACCGTCAAAATTATCCACCGCCCCTGCCATCAGCTCCCGCGTCTCTCACACACGAGCGCGACTTTAGCACTAGATTTAGCAACTTTCAGACCCTTTTAGCGGCTTTTTTCCATAGAATATTCATACTGACAAACCTAGCCACTTTTCTGGATAAATCGTAGCTATGGTTCAGTTGGAAGATTTCTCCAGTGCTGTCCCGCGAGCGCGAGGTCTGGCTTTCCTGGAGAAGTGTCGCTTCTCTCGGCGTCTGTTCTGTGCAGCGAGCGGCAGAGAAGCACCGCAGCGACTCCTCAATAAATGAGTACAAAACAGCGTTTCCTAGCACCTGCCGCTTACTGAGTGTTTGGAATTATAAATATGAGTGTAGTTCGTCTGTTAATATCACATGCACTTTTTGTTGTTGTTTTTAGTTTGTTACTCAGACGCAGGCAGTGCGCTGCATGAGACAAAAGTAATATAGCCAAAACAATCGCATAGCCGCTCTTTAGTGTAGATGCATGCTGAGTTTATCAGACGATGCCGCGATTATAAATGAGAGTGACTCCTGGTTAACATGTATTAAAAGGAGTCATGTTTAGTCACCATTTAGTGTGGTATTATAGCAGTGGGCAGCCATTTATGCTGCGGCGCCCGGGGAGCAGTTGGGGGTTCGGTGCCTTGCTCAAGGGCACTCAGTCGTGGTATTGAAGGTGGAGAGAGCGCTGTACATTCACTCCCCCCACCTACAATCCCTGCCGGTACGAGACTCGAACCCGCAACCTTTGGGTTATGAGTCCGACTCTCTAACCATTAGGCCACGACTTCCTCTAAAAAAAAAAATTGACCCTTATGACTGGTTCTATGGTCCAGGGACACATATGAGAGGAGAAAACACTCAAAAGTTGCTTTTCCAAACAAATAACATTATTTAATCACCTTTACACAGACAAGTTAAGGCTGCTGGAGAGAGCGCTGTACATTCACTCCCCCCACCTACAATCCCTGCCGGTACGAGACTCGAACCCACAACCTTTGGGTTATGAGTCCGACTCTCTTACCATTAGGCCACGACTTCCCCTAAAAAAAAAAATTGACCCTTATGACTGGTTCTATGGTCCAGGGACACATATGAGAGGAGAAAACACTCAAAAGTTGCTTTTCCAAACAAATAACATTATTTAATCACCTTTACACAGACAAATTAAGGCTGCTCTGTGCCTGCTCAAAGTTCATAGGAAAGATGCAATGCAGCATAAAAAACAGATTTATGCCTGCTCTGACCCACCTCAACCCCTCGTATCAATATACGTCTATATAAATGCATTTATGCCACATTGGTCCCAACTTAACATTAGGTGTCAGCTGGCCAGTGTGTGTGTGTACCTGCAGGAGCTGCGGGTTCTCTCTGCCGATCTGCTGTAGTAGAGCTGGTAGGAGAGACGGGTTCTGCTGGATGATCTGTCTCATCTGCAGGAACTGCGGCTGGTTCCTCAGGAACTCCAGAGGATTCGCTGCACACACAGGACAGAGTCAGAGAAACGTGCTCTCAGATGCACACGGTGAAGCGCGTGTAGCGTGTGTCGCTCACCCCCTGATCCTGTGCTGGGCTGTGACAGAGCGGTGCTAGACGGTAAAGAGAGGCCTGTGGACGCAGCAGGAGCGCCTCCCGCAGGAGCCACGGGGTCAGCACCTCCTACACTGCCCTCGCCCTCCGCAGGAATACCCTACAGCACACACACCGTCAGAAGATGCATCGCAAACACATCCGCAGCATAGATGTACAAGACGACACGTACTAAAATAAGACAGTGTAAGTATAATAAAGCCAGTTGGAGTGGTCACTTTGTTATGCAAAGACAGCATGCAAAATAGACATTTATTATATTACACTTTCCTCCGGTTTCATAGACAAGGCTTAAGCCTAGTCCCAGACTAAAACGCATGTCTGAGCTGTTTCAACTGAAAGAAACTTGCACCGACTGATCTTAAAATATGTCAGATTCATTGTTTTGCCTCAAGATGCACACCAGTTATGTTCTTATTAAAGGCATATTTCTAAAAACGACTTAAATGTCCTAATTGAACTATGGCCTGGCTTAACCTAAGCCCTGTCTGTGAAACCGGGCCTTTATCTATTTGGGTCTGTAGATTTCAATCTCAGTCCATATCTTTAGAGTTTTTTTCTCTTACATTCACCACACTTTTCAGTTTTATTCCTCTCTGTATTCTGAAGGTTTGTCACTCGCACTGATTTATACAACGTTTTACTCCTAACAAACATGGTGAAAACGTGTTTCCAGTACAGTATTTTCTGACTTATGGAGGGATAAAAAGAGAAATCCAAAAACGTTTAACTCTAATGAACCTGGTTTCATCCAATGTTCAGATTTATGTGGAAATGCATGCAGATAAGTGCATGTTTAATTAGTTTGATGCATCATTTGCATATTTAAACAGCATTTCAGAAAACTTGTAATACAAAACAATTGCTTTAATGTACTGTGTTTTAATTGACTGATTGCAGACACTATTGAAGAGAGCTGAACTGGATGATGACTCATCAATGAACTGACTTTTGCTGAAAAAACTATTTTCCTGTTTAATACTGTAAAGCTGCTTTGACACGATCAGTACTGTATACAGAGCTATACAAATAAAGGTGACTTGACTTGATTAATCAACTGGTGAAAGTATTACGATTCCTAAAAATTAAAACTGTACCCTCCTAACCTGATGTGTTTTGCCTTAAATCCCTGTAATCCGCTGATTTGTGGTGTTATATGCAGACTGTCGGTCTCTCACCGTGAGCAGGTACTCGACGGCGCGGTCAGGATTGTTGAAACTAGCTCTCAGTGCCGCCACCACTCTGTCTCTCTCGTATCCCATCAGCATGATCTCCATCACCATGTTCTCGTAGGACTGACCCGTCACTGCACACGCAAAACACACGCCAACTCACTTCATCCCACAGAGCTCATCACCTGACATGAATGAGAATGTGTGAATATGCTAACGCGTGTGGATTTATTTACCCAGCGCAGATGTCGCCTCTTCAAATATGTTTGCATTTGGTGAAGAACCAGAACTGCAGGAGGAAAAGAAGAAAAAAAACAAAAACAATAAGCTTAATATGAAATGATGTTCACACCGGAAAGAAATCCCACGTGATGTTTACTTCTCATCATCATTTTCAACATCTGTCCTGGATTTAGAAGAGACCAGACCAGTCCAGCAACAGCACTCACGTCTAATCAGCAATAATTGAGAATATAGGGCTCGCAAAATCACTAGCCCGACATACCGGGGGCTATTGAGTCTTCAGTCTGGCTACTAGGGGTGTGCGATATTGAAAAGAAGGAGACCAGACCAGTCCAGCAACAGCACTCACGTCTAATCAGCAATAATTGAGAATATAGGGCTCGCAAAATCACTAGCCCGACATACCGGGGCTATTGAGTCTTCAGTCTGGCTACTAGGGGTGTGCGATATTGAAAAGAAAAAAAAAAAATCTCGATATTTTTGTTAATTAGGCGATATTTTGCTGAGTGTGTTATTGTGCTGATATCTGACTACCATGGACTGCTGCAGTTTTTGATATTCTTCATTCTGTGTGGTCAGTTCACATCAGTGAACTAAAATGTATCTTTTCATTGATTTTTACCTTTTATGGGCACTTTTACCTTTAATAAAGCTATTTTTTGTGCATCTTTTGAGTCAAATTGTTACATTTAATCAGTCAATTAGAATAATAAGATATTTAGGCTGTTACCAAACAAATGAAACCAGCATCAACAAAATAAAAAAAGTTGCATCTGAAGTGGCATTTAGATGCATTTACACACTATTTAATTCAGCTCAGAGGGACACAGTTTAACCTGCAGTTACAAATGCATAATGTTTTGATATTTTAAACATAAAACATTGAATACTGATGTTTGAAATGAAAAGATACTTTAAATGTGAAATTAAAATCGGTCACTGTAAACAAGTGAGTCATTGCAACTGAACCGAATCATTTAAACTGTTGATTCATTCAGGAACGAAACACCGTCATTGCTCAGAGATGCAAAACTGTTCTGTGGTGGCTGTTTGGAATAATTTTTTGTTGGCGAAATAGAGCAAAAACAGGCAATATGGTGTTTAAAATGTAAGTCTCTTAATATTAACTTATTGTTTATTGAATTGAATCATGCTTATTTTTGAAGAAAAAAAAAAACCTGACACTCTTCGTGTGATTTTAACTATATGAAATGATATATGTACACTTTCTGCCCCCACATCTTGAATTTTGTGATCTTTCTTAATGCATTTTAATAGACTGGAATCATGCAGTGAAAGAACACTCTCTAAATGCGCACGAGCACTGTTTAACCCACTAGACTTCATCACGTAATGTATGCGTGCACTCCGTAAGTGTTTTGTTTGGTTTTTGCAAAATACTCGATAATGTCAAATCGCACATCGTTAAAACAACAATTACGATATTAT